CCTTAAGTGATATTGAACTACAGATCTTGTGATTGCAACCTGGGAGCACTACCACTGTGTTATTGATCCACAGGTCAACCCTAGAAATTTTACTCTTCTAGCTCAAAATATTTTAATCTAATATTTTACTTAAATAATATAAATTAATAAGGATTGATCTAATATCACCAATAATAATAAGATTCCATTATAAAATCTAAGCAAATAATATTTGAAAATATAAAGAGTATTACAAATCTCATCAAATACATACAAAAATAGTATTAGTTTAATAAAACAAACAATGTTCTATACTAATTAACCTATCCTTTCCTTTATTATTTATGATTATATATTAACCATCTGGCCTCTAGTCAGGTCTATCCACTTCAAAAGTGATTACTGGGCCTGTCTAGAATAAACCACGATATTTGCCTATATATAGAAATATATATTGATGTCTCACTATAAATTTATCCTTAATAAATTGATACATTTAATACTAGTTGTGATTTAAAAAAAAATAACAAAAAATTCGCTATATAAATTAATTAATAAATTAAAGTAAGTTTTATAAAAATATAACATGAAATCATAATTGTAATAAAAATAATCTAAAATAATTATTGGTTTATTGTATACTATTACATCCGATAAATACAGTATGACAAAGAATTTCTTTGTACAATTATAATCTTTAATAATGTTACAAGTGGTTTTAAGAGAAAGGTTTAAATGAAAATAATAAATATTAGAGTTCTTACAAAGTATCTTGCATTGATATTTTCAATGATATATGTTATAACAAGGATGCATTAAATTTTTTGGCACTCCAATATCCGTAGTCTTTGTAGTCTTTTTGGACTTTTCCAAATAAAATCCCTCAGTATTCAAGTTATGAAAAGTACAGTATAATGTTATTAAATCACATAGAAAGAGGTCTTTCATGCACGGTAGAATTAGCTCCATTTGCATTGTTGTTTTTCGAGACCTCGGACTTGACAGATGTAGGCGTTTTTGGTGAATTCTGTTGACCTTTATACCTTTTGAAAGAAAGGCTCAACGAGGCTTAAAGAATATAGAAGAATAAAGAATAAATATAATTTGTGAATTTCCATTAAAAAAAGAAAAAAGAAAATTAATTAATATTACTTACCCAACCCACTGGCAACGGCACTAGTAGCCTTTTTTCTTGATTTTATGCCTCGACCATCCCAGCTCGACTTGGACTGTTTTCCACAGCCATCCCTGATCTTTTGTGCATGTCCAACAAGACATTCAATCATTTGATTATAGGTCTCTGAATCCATCGTGGTTTGTTCACGTTGGTCCAGCCAATATGTAAGTGTATCAGAAGCTTGTCGTGACAATGCAAGAAGGTTTGTCTTTAAATCGAGGATTTGAGAATCGGTAAATGTCTGCAATGTTTCTAATAATATATAAAGTATTAATGCCTAGTTTACTTTTTTAAAAACAGTATTGCTATAAATTGTACCTTCGCTAATAGAACATAGTGACTTCACCAAGTCTACGTCTAACTGTTCAGGTGCTGTTGAAGATTTTGGCTTAGATAAATTATTGTGAGAGTAACTAGTAATGTTATTATGGGATATATTGGATAAAGAATTAGGTGTTGAGGAACGGCTAACAGGGGCTGAGGAGGCTGTCAGTTTGACAGGAGCTGAGGTAGGGCGTAAAGATTTTGCTGAAGTAGCGATCAAAGTTGACGATGAAATTGTATTTATGTTATTTTGAGGTTTGACCTTTAATGATAAATTTTAAGTTAGATAACGTCTCCAATTTTCATATAACATCACGTAACACCCACCTCTTCTAATGACTCAATCTCAATCCCCAATGATGAATAGAATACTTTTCTTATTATGGATTTTTTCCATTGGAATGGTTGTTCATTTGATTCATGAGAAATACGTTGCCATATTCTCGAGCTTTTATAAACATCAAATTGAAGAGCATAAGTGAAGAGATAATAACAACATAGCAACAGAAATCGAAAGACAAACCTTTCAGGAGTATAAAGTATAGATTTCAACCCTTTATTACTGTCTAATTCTGAATATCCTTCATTATTGTGACTATAATTTATATCAGATGAAAGTCCATTACTTGAAGGAAATAGAACATCTAGCGCTTGGCTTAGGTTGTTAAGTATTGTTGTGTCGTCCATCGAAGAGACATTCATACATGCCTGTATTATTAAATTAATGCGTTTTGAGTGAGTATTCTGATCTATTATGACATAGAAAAAAAAATATGCGTAATTTTACTATTATACACCTACTAAAATTGAATCATTGGACGCAGAACTGTTTTGTATAACCGACTCCGGGATCGTTTGTTCTTGAAGGCTCGAGGCCGAATCGAATTCTGATTCTTCAAAATCTACAAATTCATCAAACTCATCGTCTGATCCGTTTTCTGTTAGATCGGTGAGATTATTACTGTTTAAGTCCCTATAGGTTTCATTAAAATCCATGTCTTTAGATTTAAAATTCGTCTGTAGATTCTCGTTTGTCTCTGTAAGGTTATCCGTTCATCTATTGTTAAGTGACAACTCCTTGTTTTTAATATTGTAAAGTTACGTGACACACATCTGAAATCTGCAGTTCGTTAATTAAATACATGTGATTAAATTATCATATATGGTAATAAATATATATTATTTTACAACCTTTATTATAAAACAAGTCTTGTACTTATAAACTCTTTCCGCTGATCCCCTTTTTCCTTAAAAATTTTCTTTTTTGATAATTTTCTTGAAAAAGAGAAGTCACTAAGATTTGAGACTTAACAACAAATTATAATATTTAGTCACTTTTTAAAGATCATTTTATCAATCAAGAGAAATATAGATAGTATAGTATCATTTCATCTCTACTTTACTTTACAAGGAAAGAAAAATACATCTACAAGTTGATTCATAGTAAGTTTAGAAGAGTTCAATATCAACTTCCCAAGCTTTTAGCCAGTTCAACATTGGTTTATATCTTTCTAGACATTAAAAGGAACTTCATTAACAGTAATTCTCACTGACAAATCAAAAAAAATTCAAAGTTCATAAAGTTTAAAAGAACATTAAAGGTTTTCAAGAATTAAACAATAAAGTATTCTAATTTCATACATACCTGTCTAAATAATAAAACAAGTTATATAAACACATACATGTCAAATAAACATAGTATTAAAACAATATAACAAGGTTTATTAAGAATTTATAAACAAATGATTCATCCTTTACAACAAAAAAAATTAACAACTATTCTAATAAACAAGTAATTTCAAATAATAAGAATCAGCAACTCATTTGAGTAAATAATATTTCAAACAAGATAATAAACAAACAACTTCAAAAATCTTGTTAAATATAAATAAACAAAAAAAAGTAAATAAAACAACAAATTAGTAATTTATTCTTCTTATATGTAATCAATATAATAAAGAAATAAAAAATTATATAAATTGCAAAGAAGAGAAAGCTTCATATCCTTAATACAATAATTAAAATAATTGAAAAACATAATCAGAAAAAAGAAATATAGGTTATTCAAATTATCTTCAATATTCTTACCACATAAAACAAGTCCAATTAGATACTAGAATCAGTAGAATACTTGATACTTGATAGTATTCTAGCAAAAATTTTAAATGTAAATCCAACTATATTTATTAAAACTAAGGTTCTTGAACAGTATATTCTATATATATGGATACAAGATCAAGAAAAAAAGAAGACCTTATGGTACTTTTCTTGGAAAAAAAAATCAGATATATCTTGAAACACGATATTATTACAAATAGTTTTCATCTCTACAGTTCTAAATCTTTTTAAATCAAGAGTGAGTTCATAATCCCTATAATAGAAATTCAACCTTAAATAAGAATATCTCTTCAAACAAGAACATGAAGTTTAACTAACAATCAAGATTGAAATTTTAAAAAATACTGAAATTGAAATGGATAATAAAGAACTGGAAAAAAAGCTTGAAAAAAAACTTGAAATAGAAAATATTTAGAAAAAAATTGAAGAAGAAAATATAACAAAACAAATCTTCTACAATATATGAAATAGACTCAAGCTATCCAACCTAAATCTATTTTATATCACTAAAAAAGAAAAATTCAAGGTTAGAATTCTTATCTCCAAGATATTGAGAGATACAAAAAAAGAATGAATAACCTATCTTCAAGGTATTCTATATCTATACAAAAACATATATCTATTCAAAAAAAAAACTTTTTCAATAATAATATCTGGACTATTTTTATCTTTGAAAAAGTTGAAAATATCTTATAATATATAGAAAAAATCAATAAGAAAAAAGTAAAAAACTTTACCTTGATTACTTTTTTTTTTTTTTATCCCACAGTCAGGTTAGCATGGCATGTCTTTATTGTATATATGCTAGGTATTTACAAACTATTGTGACTTTCATATACTGACTCACTCGTCGTCGAAAAACTATTTCTCTAAATGTAACCTAGGGAATGATATTTTGCTCCTTTACTAATTTGGATAAATCCTCTAATTAATAAAATCATTGCCTACAGGTCATTACTGTAGATTATTCTAAGTTTTGTCTGCAGTTAAAAACTGAAACAATTTATTCCATGACAAACTCAATCCTTAATAATTGGCATATATTTCTTTTCTTCTATTTCTTTGATATTCCCCAAGTTCAAATTCTCTGGAGGTAATAACAGTTCTTTTTGGTTTTGTTTAGTCTATTTATCAGGTTTGAGCTTGTCCTTAATTTTTTAAATTTATATTTTTAAGTAAAAAAAGTATTTTTTATATATTTTAAGGAAAAAAAAATATTTTTAATGTATTTTAATTTTAAATAGTATAAAAATTCTGATTATGCTTTGAATTTAATTTTTTGAATTTTATTTTTTTTAACTAATTATTAATTAAAATCATTAATTAATTACTAATTATAAATCTAGATCACTAATTAATTACTAATTATAGATCTAGATCACTAATTAATTACTAATTATAGATCTTAATAATTAATTATTCATTAAGATTATTAATTTTTTTTTTAACCCTTTATCAGGCTAGGTATGTGTGTTTTATTAAACATATGTATACTTTACATTAAAGATGTATCGCTAAAGCTAAGTCTATACTGAATTTACTTATCTCTATTTTAAGAATTATTAAAACTCTAAGTATAACTTTGGAAGTAATTTATCACTCCATTAGTAGTTCAGGTAAAAACTCTTTTAACTGTTAACTTAATTGCTTGTAGATCACTTTGTGAGGTTCTAATAGAGCTTAAAACCCTGCTATCTTATTCTATACTCTACTCTTCTTGTTAAAATTTCTTGAAGACTTTCATCTTCAAGGTTTCCTTCTTCAGGTAGTGGATTTATTTTCTTCGAATATGTAGTTTTCTGACCTGATAGACAAGAAGGTCTTTTTATCTTATTTTTTTTACTAATTCCTTGTGTTCATTTTTATTTAATTACCTTTTTATATCTCTTGTTCCAAACTTCTTTTCAAATTTGATTGCAGACTCTTCTTTGTATTTTTAATATTGACTTTCTTGCTGTTTTTCTTATACATTTATCATGACATTTTAGATTTGCCATTTTTAGGATAAGATCAGTTCTTATAAGGCCAGTACAGAAACTTAGTATATTCTGACTTGTTCCAGAAGTCTGTTTCACTACTTTGCAATTAATTTATCAAACTTTCCTATTTCTTTATGGTCATCAATACTTAGTCTGGAATTTTTTTCTTTGGCCTCTTTCTTTCTTTTCTGCAATAGTTTTTAAAGTTCTAATGATTCTATCTACTCCTTTATTCCATGCCTCTTGTAGCTGATCTTTATAGGCTACACATTCTAGCAAGTGTTCTATAGTTTTATTTTATTGGCTACATGCAATGCATTTCACTTGCTTGTATAGATCTGGTCTTCTTACAGCCAAATTACTTAAGGTGAATAGCTTATCATTGGCCAGTTTAATAAGAAAGATTCTTTGTTGGGATTGTTTAAAAGATGTATCTCATGTATGTCCATCTTTAATCCTTTCCCATATTAGGTTTCATATATGAGCTTAGTGTTCTGAAATCTGATGACTCCATTTTTTCCCTATTCTATTTTGTTGTGTTCACTAATAAGCTGTTATCTTATTATTAATATTCTTAAAAAACTACTTAATTGAATCATATAGAGTTGTTTCTTGTCACTTAATTTTAGTTATAATTTTGTGTGAAGTGAGATCTTTCCATTCGATTGGTGGAAATTTTAGGACTTCTTTAGCTAAGGCATCTGCTTCTTCATTATAAGGGTTATTAAAGTGTACTTTGACTTTTGTGAACTTTAGATCTATATTTTTCTTTTTTATTAGCTCTACCATATGTATCCATAGAGATCAATTTTTTTCTTTGAGCCATCTCTTGTGTATTCTTTTCGGGTCTTTTTTTTTTAAGGATTCCCATTTGAAAATACATGCTTGACTATCTATAAAGATCTTCACCATACTTTCAATTGGGACTATTAGAAGTATTGTTATAATTACTACCAATTTTGCTCTTGTAGACAAGGATCAATTTTTCACTTCTATTTGGAACATGTTTTCCTTTCCTTTTTTTTCTATTTGGATCCAAGCTGCTCTCATCTTCATATCTTCTTTTCTATGATTAGTAAGTGATCCATCAGAAAAGAAGATTTGTTTTTCTTTAGATCCAAGATTACATTGGAATATATCTTTTAGATAATCTTGATATGCTCCTTTAATGTATATTTGATAATAGCTTTTTCCTAGGTTTTGATATCCATATGATTTACTCTATCATTTTGATTGTAAATCACTTTTTTAATGCTTTTTTCAAGGGCTAACTTGAGGTTGTAGATTTTTAGATCTCGAGTTTTTCTAGTAAACTTTCTTGTATTGAAGTATAGTATTACATATATTTTACCTATTTCCCTTTCAAGAATACAGTAATTATTTAGTGTTGTGCCTTCCAAACATCCCAGATATTTTTGTATATTGGTTTCCTAATCATTGTTGGAGTTATAACTGATAAAGTGCTATACTATTGTAACATTTTCCTTTTTTTCTTGTTTTAATTTTTTCCAAGTTACTTGATTTCTTTTATTTTCTATCACTATCCACAATTTTTTCTGCTTGTCTTGATTAGAATCTATTTTTGAGTATTTTGGTTCCCATTTTATATAATTATCTCTTCCAGACCTTATAAGCTGCTTTAATTATTCTTCTGAAAGATTTTTGACTATAATTTGAAACTATTCTAATATGGTCCTTTGCTTGTATCTTGTAGGAGCTAAAGCATTTGCCAGTCTCTTATTATTGTAGTTTTCTGATCAATTAGCTAATCCAGATATATTAGCTAATTATTTCTAAGTGATGGTATAGTTTTTTTATATTCTTTTGGTACTAGATATTCTCTAATCCAAAAGTTTCACTTTTTTCATTCAAAGATATTTTGCCATTTCCAAATATAAA